TACCATATTGAAAAATATACTATTTTTGTATGATAATTATGGGTTTTGTATTTTATTTTAATAGAAGTTGATGTTGCTTTTGCAATTATCCATCAATTTTTTAAAATTAAACACTATCTACAGATTTGCATCGAAGCGTTTCTTATGATAGTGATTTTAATCACTGTCAGATTAAATCTATACTGAACCCAACTATACAATGTCTCCACTATGCCGCGACCCCACTGTGCTACCGTTTTTTTAATGTTAAATATAAGTTATAATAAGGTCAATCCTAAAATTTTAAGTCGATTGAGTTAATATTGAATAATCTGTGTGTTTTTTAACGTTTTGGCTATTTTTAACATTTTTTACATTGAAATAGCCATAAAAATCGGGAAGGTCATAAAAANTTGGCTATTTTTAACATTTTTTACATTGAAATAGCCATAAAAATCGGGAAGGTCATAAAAAAAAAAAAAATTGTTTTAATCTAATTATAGCATAAATAATAAACCCTGAAAATTTAAAAAAAATATGAGGTGGTCGTGCAACCACTTCTGGATGATTTGGCATGGATTGACCCGTAACCAAAAATATAGGTTAAGTCATGAGCGTGCTTATAAAGTTACATGAGAAATAAATTGTCTAAAGCAAAAATAATTACACGTCGAAAATACAATTTTTAACCTTTGGAAGTTTAACATCGAAATCGTTCCCAGTTTATATATAAGGCATATAGAGCTGGAGAGATCTAAGTGAAAAATAAAATGGTATCTTTTTGATACAGTTGATTTAGGAGATCGATGATAAATTAAACGATATTTTAAAGTATATAAACTTTAATCTACTAAAAAGAAAGATTATTTAACATTATACCATGTTATAAAATTATCTCATTTATTCCAAAATGATACTTTGATCCTTTCAACTTTGGTTCCTCAATGTATGTTGCTAAAATGTATTACTTTTTAAATAAATATGAATTTCATTTGACTTTTTAGATGATATATTTAATATAAGCCTCTACGTTTTAACATAATTAATTTTGAGTATCNCATCATAGATGATATATTGAGATGATATATTTAATATTTAATAAGCCTCTACGTTTTAACATAATTAATTTTGAGTATCTCGTTAACTTGTTATGCTCATAAAAGTTTTTAAAGGGCTAGTCTACATTAATATTTTTTATTATTTTGGATATATACATATTAGAGTAATTAAATGTAAATAAAATGACTGGAATTACCTAACCCAGATTCATTTATCATTAATAGTCTGCCAAGGTTCTTTTATTGACAGTTCTTTTAACTAAATACTTTTAAGTTGTAACTAAAATTTTCTAAAGATATATTTCAAATCATTTTTTATAGGTGGAGACATTCATGCAAATATGTACAATATGTCATTCTATGTTAATCTGATTGAGTCAAGTATTTTAAATTTAACAAAGAAACATGAATAATTTTGTATTATCGTTTACCACAATAGTATAATTGTGGGGACTACTACTACTACCAAGAGTCTAGATCCCTCAATATCCTATATTTATATACCATACATAATAAATAGCATAAGGCCTTATTTTATTTTGAATATTTTTGTATGTAAAATATAAGTTATTTTAAAGATTTATCCAAAAAATTAAAAAATCTATTAATAGTTTATTAAACACATTTTAATTATTCTTTCACTTATTTTTTACTGTGTAAAGCAATTTAATTCAAATACAAATATTAATTAATATGAAAAAGTTATTATTGTTTTATGATGGGTTTTTTTCTACTTAATATTATAAATAGTTATAGACTTGATTTTCAACCCCATAATCAAAAACTTTCTAATTAGGCAACTTATATATATATTTAAAAAATACAATCTATACAAAATTAATAGAATTTCTCAAACTATTGTTTCTTCGTGATTAAAATGCGGTTTAAACATTTCACTTTGAGCCTGATCGGGTAAACTCGCAGAATTCTAAAATTAAATAATAATAAAATTAATCATTTGATGGTTGTAAATTTAGTATTAAAAATTATATTTATTATTTTTTACAAAACTGCAAAAAAAATTTTGATTTGTTAATAACGATTTTTTTGACAAATATTTTATGAGCTATCAACATGAAACCTTATAAAAAGAGCACACAACATTCATACAAATATACTTTCACTAATTATTTATTTAAATATTAAGTTGCATTAAAATTTATCTACAGGCTATTTTAAATAATATTTACTTTATTCATAAATCAATAGTAAAGGATAATTGTTTACTTCAAAATAAATTAAAATTAGATAGTTACAAAATGTAATAAAAATCAACTTACCAATTTTTGAGCCCTCTTCTCTAATATTGAATAAGCAAAATGATTTAGCTAAAAATAAAACACCAAATTAATTATCTTTAAAACTATCTATAATATGTGTTGGTTTCCATGGTAAATTTTTAATTCAAAATACCAGACAAAACACAACTATTGGAGTCGTAAATTAGTGATTTTTACTTTATAACTCTGTTTACTAGATTTTCCTTTTATAAAAAAGGTTAAAATCATTTTTGTTTTATCTTGACTCTAATTACTTAAGATGATAACTACTTAAAAATAACAAAACCATTTTATTTTGCCCTTATTTTATACGAGAATAAGTAATTAATACATTTTAAATTCAATAAAACAATCTTTACAACCATTAAAGAAAAAAGTTATTTAAGCATAATGATTAATTTAAATTGTTTTAATTCACATATTATTTTAATATTTTGTTAACAATTTTCATGGTAAAATTACATTGATTGTTATACTTGATTAATTGAAATTATTTTTGAAAATCTAATATAATAGCCTTACATGAATTCCTTTAGGTAATGAAACACCTTGAAATCTATATAAGATTCTATCTTTAGCTTCATGTTGATGTACCTAGATGTCAAAATTTTTTTAAGAATTAATCATAATAAAAATTAACAATTATAAAACATACTGCTGTTATGGTACAACGACCAAGAAGATCAGTATTTCCAATCATAGGTCCTTTACTAATGTCAATATGATCACCAATTCTGTATAGTGTTACTTTTTTATCTAAAAAATAGTATAATATATTATAAAAAATAATACATTTTAAATTTAAAAATTAATACTTAAAAAATATATTACCGACTGATTGTTGTACAATATTGGGTACCTGCTCTTTTTTAAATTTATTATTCTGAAATATTTCAAGAGCAAGCTCTTTAGAGACAATAAGTCTTTCAAAATTATAAGACTTTTGTGCTAATTTTACCATATTTGCTGATAAAATACGCAGTTCATTTTCAGTAGGTTTCCATTCTGAAAGATTTTCTAATTCTACATCATACACAAAGCTTCCACTTTTAACTATAACAAAGAAAATCATGAAATAATATATATATAATTTAATTTGAATTAATTTTTTAGTTAAATTTTTTATTACATAAACAAAGTTTCCCATGAGCTTTTGATATTTTGCATTGCTTTTTTAAATATTTTATACAGTTTTGAACTATGTTAAAAGCACATTTGTTATTTTATTTTTTTATTTTTCATCTGTTTGAAATTTCAAAATAGCCATTCTAGTTAAATATACAAAACTGGGAAGATATTAATTTTACTATGATGTGTTTTTTTTATGTCCGTCCGTGAATCTTTTCAGATCTCACAAATTTTACAAAAATAGACTACTGTTAATGATTTTCCCCTGTACTTTTCATTTATTATTATACATTAGAATATATATTTAATCAAATATTATGATTTTCAATTCATTATTTATTTAAAAATATTAATAAAAATTATTATTATTACTATAAATTTCTTTTACATGTAATATTATATTTATTTTAAGGATCGATAACTATTTTTTCTCTCCTAAATACAGTATCTAATTACTTTGCCAGCCGAATTTTATGATATTCACAATTCTTAATCTATACCATAAAACACGTATGATACATTCTACTAAATAAAAATGCATTATTAAAAATACAGGCAAGGCCCTAGAGATTAAAAGTTATAGAATTGAGTTTTTTCCATTTAATATATTATTAATAATATATTTTGAATTACCATTTGGTGATGGAAAACTATGTAAAATTGGTAGATGTTTTTTTTTTAATGCTTTAGTAATAACTGCTCCTAATATGAATGAACAACTACGCCAATATGCTCTATTGAAATGATATGGATCTGGAAGATATTGTGCATGCATGAAACGTAATTCACAATCTTCTTCAAGAGGTCGATGCATATCCCATATATGTGTACCATTTATTAAAGCTAGGCCACTTCTTCTTACCAACATTTCAGAAATATCTGTAAAAGTTTTTAATTTGCATAAATTTTTTACTAATTAACTGTCCATAAATGAGGTTCAATAATTCAAAAAGTAATCATAATTATAAAATTATAAATACGTTTAGCACAGTGATAAGGTGTTGAAATGTTTTTATTCATTGATAGTGTAACATCTTCAGGTACACCAATGTGTTTAACAACAATTTTTTCAATGCGGCCTACAGCTTCATGTTGCCTTTTCAACTCTTTATCAAATAAAAAATTTTGATGTAAAGTTTCTTCATCTTTTAAATTAATTTCTTTAATAGTTGAAACATATCTTTTCACTTTGAACCAAAATAGAAATAATAATTAAAAAATAAAAAAAAATATGAAACTTAATCTTATAAAAATTTATAAGATTATAAAACTTACGAGTAAAGTTGTTACTGTACTTGTGGTACAAGTTTAAACTAACACGTTTCATTTCAAAATTATAACTTCTGTACTATCAAGTAAAATTATATAAACTATACTCAATATGGATATATTAAAGTCTATAGAGAAGGAAATAATTTTAAAATAATAAAAAATATAAAATTTTCTCAGTACAATTGTTTCATTTTAATTTAATAAAGCTTTAGATTGTTTTTAAAATCATAAATATAACTGATAACATGTACAATAATTTATAATTGATAATATTAAATACTATTGCATGGATAACATACACATGTGTTTTTTATCTTGGTAAACAGTATTTACCAAAAATGGACATTAACGAGTTAATAGGTTATAATAAATTAAACTTGTAGCTTAACAGAATTTTTTTGATTTTACGTTAACTTAATTTCTCTTATGTTCATTTAATAACAACTCACAGAATATAAAAGATCTTACCTAATTGCACTAATGCTTAGAACCCCCCCTGAAAAAATTGTCTTAAATCAACACTGAACTAAACTATTTATTTTAATCTACACTGAACCAAAGAATTTAATTTAATGAGATAAGAACTTAACTTTTAAATTAAATTATTAAAAAAATAATGAATAAACTTGGTAATTTTTTTTTCAATTAACTTACTTTTAGTAAGTAAAAAAATCATTAACTCGCCTAGCCTTAGATTTACTCTACGTTTGATTTCGACAAAATTTAGGAAGGACTTTTAAATTCCCACTATCTAAAAAAGTTTTTTTTTTAACATTATTTGTTTATTTATTTATTTAATTGGTTTTAAAGTCAGAATGACTTGTATGCATCTTTTGGACCCAGGGACTCACAAAATTCTTTTTGTTGTCTAATTTAACATCGTTAAATTTAAATAGCTATTTACCATTTTATTATTGAGAAATTATCAACTGTCACAAACAATACTTTGCAAAAATCAGTAATCGGGGTAATTCTAGATTAGAAAAATCATCATACCCAATCAACATTTTTATTAATAAGTACCATATAATTAATAACCGGATTCATCTATTGAACACCCAATAGTTTTAAGACTAAGCTAGTATTACATAATTAGGTAAAATTTTTAATTATGACTCGTCCCATTAAATAAATCTTGATCATATGTTTGCAACTCTATAATTTTCAAAATTAAAAGTTTAAGATACAGATTTAAAAGTAATATTAACAAAGTTCTACTGTAGTAAATATGACTACATAGTGAATGATAACTATTTATTGCTATAGCTCACTTTATTATATAGCACATTCTTAAGTTCAAACGTTGGCACCGTTTTCTTGGATAATTATATTTAAATCATGATTAATCATCGTATGGTCTATTTTGACAGAAAACGTAAAATAATTTCATTATAATGTATAATAATAACAAAAAAGTATACGAATTATTACATACATGTAATGAAAACGCATGTCCCATATTTGAAATGTTGAATACTTTAATGATAAAAATTATTCATTTATATACATAAATTAGAATTTTAGTAAAAATTTTACCGCTTTTATATAAAACTAATATGTATATTTAAAGTATGCTGTTGCATAGAAATTTTTGGATCATTTCTACAATGTAAGCCTGAAGGGTTTAAATTAATATAAAAGTTCACAATTACATTAATTCCAATCATTTTTTTACAAGGATAATTCTTTATAGTTACATAATAAGCAAAAGTAAGTAAAAGTTTAACATTTTACAATATGTTATGTAATATCATACTCTAATGTTAATGCATAGTATTGTATTCTAAAAAATAACTCTTTCTTCCTTTAGCCCCCAACATTGTGTTAAAATTATTATTTCTTAATCAAATTATTGAAAAAGTGTGTCAAATGCATCTTCACATAAAACTTCTTTTAAATACACATAAAACAATTTCATACCAAGTAATATACATAGTTAATCCCAATATTGCATATATGCAACATTATATTGTAAAAAAACTAAAGAGGTATCATTTTTTTTTTTTTACTTAATAAATTGTTAAACGAGCATATAGTTAAATAATAAAATGTAGTGAAACATAAAATTAGATTTTTCTGACTTTGGGGAATAATGAGTTAAATTACTATTTATATAATACATTGTATTAATTTTATATTGTACTTATTAAAATAATTCTAAGGCCTATTACCCTCGTGTGATAATTATTTTATTATTTTTTTCACCAATAATACTATTCTATAAATAAAAAAAAATGATGAATTATATTATTTTTAATTTATAAACAATCAGACCCCAATACATAATAAAGATTATTAAACACTTTTGTTTTTATTAAAAACCCATATTTTGTGTTAATTAATAAGAAGACAATCATAAAAAATTAAATACAAAAATACAAAAGATTCTATAAAATTTAGATTGTATGGTATTGATAGTTTGAACTTTACTAGAATTTTAAACTTAACTTGAAATAAAGTTTTAAATAAAAACTCAAATTTATCACTGATTAATAGGTGGTGTGTTGTTAAAATAGTGTAATGCTTTTTCCAAACACGTAACTTCAATATTGTATACAGAGTTATTTTCATTTAAAATATTTTCTGGTTTACCTACAATACAAAAACCATTTTTTTTTGCATGCTGTGATACTGACAATCCACTAAGTACATAACATGTATGATATACATCAGGAGGTTTTCCTGGTTTATCAATGAGACCACCACTATATTTATTTTGGCAACATATTAAAACATATTCTTGAAGAGCTTTGTAATCATACAATGTCCATAATTTTTGATTTTCTTCGGACTTTAACATTTCTGTTAACACAGGAAAAATAGCTACTTGCCAAAATGAATAACATCCATCAACAAGTTTATTTGTTCTACCTTGGAATCCTCCTTCAAATGACATTTGTTTATTAACAATCCAACGTAGAAGAGCTTTTGTATCACACATATTAATAGCATTAAGTAGAAGTAATGCTGAAAAACCACAAAAAGTATAACCACCATGAGCTTCTACACCTGGTACACCACCAAATCCACCTTCATATGTTTGACATCTAATTACCCACTGAGCACTTCCATCAAAAAGGCCATCTGAATAAATATTGGTTAATCGTGCTACAGTTATTGCACAATAAATTGATCTAACATCACATTCTCCATACTTATGCATGCGAAATGATCCATTAGGAGTACGTAAAGAAGACAAAAAAGAAAATAATTTCTTTCTATTGATTACTTTGTAAGCATCATCTGTACCAATTAAACATAATGCGCATACAGCAGCATATGTTGGTGCTAAATGAGGCATTTGATTAGGGCCTCCGGAAAAACCACCATTTTCATGTTGACATCTAAAATTTAAAATTAAAATAAATATATATCCATTAAAATTATAATACTTTGTATATTTATGTACTTAGATAAAAAATTAATAAAATTTGACTTTTCTTCTAGTGAAAGTTCATAATTCAGTAGAGCAAGTGATTGGCACAACCAGTAACATAACCATGGTCGACTAGAGTCTAAACATTCATAGTTTTGAGGAATTGTGAACATATGATTTCTAATATAAGATAAGTGGTTTTCTCTATTTAATATAGGTGCATCAGGATCACATTCTGCTTTTGAGCAAAATAATTCAAACAATTTAGAAATTTTTTTCTCTACTTGCAACTGGCTAGCTGATGAACTTGTATCAATTGTTTCATTATCAAATTCAATACGTTTGACAGACAGAAATTTGTCCATAACTATTACAGTTACACTGAATACTTCTGAAATATAAATAACTTTTATAAATGTGATACAGTACACGCAAATATTTAAGATTAAAATAATAATTCTGTAACAAAATTAAACCTCATTCTTCTTTGTCCTCGCCTTTATCTCAACTTTTTGGAGTTGACCACCCTTATCTTAAACTTCTACTTGACACGATCTACCACATCATATTTGCACATGTCAGCCGTCCTCATAACACATTTAATAACATCCTTCAATCTCTTTTTTGGTCTTCTACTTTTTCATCTCTCAGCATTCATTTCCATAACTGTTCTTACAGCTTCCGATTCTTCTCTCTTCATAACATGACCAAACCATCTAAGTCTATTTTCTCTTATTTTATTTACAATTGACGCTATACCTATACTCCTTCTTATGTGTTTGTGCCTTATCCTATTTTCTCTAGTCACTCCACTCATCCATCTAAGTATTCTCATCTCTGCTACACTCTTTCTCTGTTTTATTCTTCTGTCAACCACCAAACTACTGTACCAGATATATCTAATGATAATAATCTGATTGACTGTACAAATAATGAAGAAATAATAAACAAAATAATATTGAACCTAAATAAAAAAATTATTTTTTTATTGGTAATACTATGAATAAATTTTGAAGTGTTAAAAAAATATTATAATAACTGAAATATCTTAATAAAAACTAAAATATTTTTTAATGAAAAATTATTTGATTAATACCTAGAACAAGTATTAAGAATAATGTGATAATTATAATGTTTAAAACGAAAAATTTGAATTGTCAGTAAATGTAAAATATTGTTAATCCTAATATATCTTATTACATAAAAAAATTTTATTAAACAAAATTTAATTTTTTTCAAATGTTACATTATATAACAAATAGTAAGAAAAAAGTAGTCATTTGCCTTTTGTATATTAAAAACTACTTAAAGCAGTGAATTGTGTTTTTAACCTGATTAATGTTAAATGAAATTATTGAAAAACATTAAATTTAATTATAAGATAGTTTCATAACATATTTAAATTAAAAAAAAAAAGGTTTAATTCGACCCTTGTATCTAATAAAATATTAAAATAATAATAAGGTCGTACTGTTTTATTTATAATAATGAATATAATACCTGATTTTAAAATAAATAGAAAAATAATTTAATTATTAAGATAACATCACATTCGAAAAAATCTTTTTTAATAAGTTAACAAAACATTAGGCTACAAAATTAGTTACTAGGAATTGAATTCTGATACTATTCAAAAGTTAACAAATACTTCATGGTACTTATAACTTCAGGACTAAATAATTAAGTAGTTACAACATACATTACGTTTATTTCTAAAATATACTATAAGAGAGATATTTATAAATAAGTTATTAAAATATCTTAAGTTTAATCAGTATACTTTATCAGTACTAATCACATCATTTCATCCTAGTGATTATATGGTTATCATTAAAACACAAAAAATCTTAGGTGTGTAAAAAAAAAATATGAGAATTTATATTTTATTGCTCATGCATGCAAATTTATAGAGTAATATTTAAAGTGATTAAATGACGTTTTGACTTAATTTCGCAATGTAATTATCCTAAAAAAAATGTATTAAAATATCTTCTTCCTAAAAATTCTTTTAACATAATCGTTTTTGTATTAAAACAAATTTTAAAAATTTTTTCAGTTAGGTCCCCTTCTTTTATTACAGTAATATAACACGTTATTCCACTATTACTCATTAGTATGCTTCTTAGCACAACGTGTATATTAATATTTACTAATTAGTAACAATTTCTAATTGTTTTTATTAATATTATTTAAACCAATTCATTCATTACATAGTTACCTTACAACTATTTATAGTAGTTGTTAACTTATAATTGCCATTTTTAATTAAATATTTTTGTAAATTTAAATTTAATTTTAATTGAAAACTTTTTATTTTAAATAATGATTCATCAACGTAGGAATGATAAGGTAGGTTGGATTTCTTTCTTAAATTCACCCTATAATATTTAAAATTTAGACTTTTAAACAAATCCACGTTATATATAAATAATCAAATAATGTTATATTTTGTACTAACATCTAGTTAATTTTGTTTTAGGAAAGAACTCATTTAAAAAAAAACCGTACTCCAAAAAAACATAAAACATTATTATCACGTTCATGTAGTTGTTTGTTATATATCATTAAGTTTCTTCGTTTTGTTTATGATTTTGTTATAACATATATATTTGATTATTTAAATAGTGAAGTACCAATAAAAAAACTGCCCCCTGTTAATGATGACTTAGTAATTCAAAGTTGTGTTACTATAGTTAACAAAATTAAAACCAGAAAAGTATCATGTCGCTATGTAGTTGAGTGTTTCATTAAGAGAATTAATCAAGTTAATTCAATTTTAAATGCTGTAGTAGATTCTCGCTTTAAAGAAGCTTTATCTGAAGCCGATGAATATGATAAATTAATAGAGTTGGCTGACACTGAGGATAAACTTAATTTAATTTTTGATGGCAAACCATTATTTGGTATTCCTTTTACTTCAAAAGAAAGTACAGGAGCCAAAGGAATGGCTTGGACATTTGGTTTAAAATCTAGGGCAGGCAATAAGTGTAATGAAGATGCTGAAATTGTACAGTCATTAAAAAAGGCTGGTGCAATACTTATAGCAATTACAAATGTACCTGAACTAAATTTATGGTGTGAAACTAGAAATAAAGTGTATGGTCAAACAAATAACCCATATGATACTACACGTACTGTTGGAGGATCATCTGGTGGAGAGGTTTGTTATTTTTTATTTACTATGAATATTTTTGTTGTTATAATCCCTTTTTTTAAATTTTAGACCAGCATTGTGTCAGGATGTGGAAGTCCATTGGGACTTGGAACTGACATTGGTGGATCAGCTCGTATTCCAGCATTTAACTGTGGAGTATTTGGACACAAATTAACTACAGGTTATAAAATAGAATTATTAAATAAATTAAAATTAATTTTAATAAATAATAATAATTAATTATAAAAATTAATTTTCAGTTTGGTTGAAACAGTATGAATCTAACTGACAACTATTATAACTTTTGATACAATTAAAATTTAAAATTATTTTTATAGTTTTAAATTATTAATTTTCAAAATAACCAGTTTATAACCCTGTCCTTACAAAAATGATCAATGAGTCATTATCAATTTTAGGTTAAGTAATTATTGAGTAACAAACATTTTAATACATTAGGAGTGTGGGTAAAACTCATTTTGGTGTATATTTATAACACTTACTCCACCTGCCTTATATACCCACTCTATGTATTAAAATGCTTACAAATAATTATTCATCCTGAAATTGTTATCAACCCATTAATCATTTTGAATATTTTTGAAAAAAATGAAAATTAAAAAAGAATTTTTATTTAATATTATTATTATGATTTTAACATACCTAGTCTAAACATGTAATATTATTATTAAAAAAATTTAAACAAATTGTTAATTGTAAAGTTATGGGAGTTGTCTGTTAGATTTCTTTTACTCTGTATATATTAGGGATGAACCAATATGAATATTTTCTGATATCCAATAAGCCCATATTTGTTGTTAATATAAATTAAGTAACTAATCAGATGATACAAATTATTCTAAAAAATAAATGATATCACCCTTAAAATAATGATTAGTATTACACTTTGATTTATTTCAATAACACTTTATAATTTTGATCTCACTAATTAATATTATATAATAGTTGAATCACTAATTTGAAAAATGACGTTAGTCAAAATATTTTGAAAAACAAGTTTTAAAGTGTATTACATAAATTTGTCAGTGTAGAATCAGACGAATATATTAACCAAAAAAAAAATTTTTTTTTTTGTAGAATTTATTGTTACAATGATAGAACACATAAGTAAAAATTTTAATTATAACACCTCTAAAAATACATGGTTTAAATAAAAAAAAAAAAAAATTTTTTTTAAAGAATTTAATTTTTTTTTTTGGTTGATACATTCCTCTATTCCTACACCAACAATTTATAAATAAACACATAATTTAAAAAATTTGAAAGTTTCCAAAAATGTTTGTATACATAAGTACAAAAATGTTTGAAGTGTCTAATAAATAAACAAGATGTGAACTTACTGATGTTAGTCATCAGAATATTAATATACTGCAAAAAAGCATATGTATTTTAGAAACTATGTAAATCTTAAAGTACTTTCAAATATGTTTCTTGGAGTTAAAATAGAGTCATTTTATATACATTTTGTATTAATGTAGTATGTATCTTATTGAATATTTTCATTTGACCATCTTAGTTTTAATGCAACACACTAATGGTAACATAAAAACAGTTTTTACTGTTTTCTACTATTTAAATAATTTAGACTTAATTTGTTTCTCAAATAAGTTTTATTAAAAGATAAAACCATAATTAATATAGATTTATTTCTTATCTAGAAAACTTGAAAATATAATGGTATTTTAATTTTAATTTTGTAGAATTGTAAAAATAATATTTGTTTTTCATTGTTTATTTTAGGTTTAATAAATACCAAAGGTATGACATATAGAATGGGTACTGAAAAAGACACTATGGTAAGTGCTGGGCCTATAACGAAATATGCAGAAGATCTAACACCTGTCATTAAAGCTTTGGTAGGTCCAGAAAAATCATTAGAAATGAAATTGGATGATGAGGTAAATAACTTTATATAAATCACATCTTACATATATGCATAATATATGTAAGATATATGTACAGTAATCATCCAGTACATCTCTTTTTTCATATATATCCCAAGTTAGTTGGTCTAAAACGTCCTTTATGTTCGTACTAGAACATTGCAATAATGCAACACATACTGATTCACAAATAAAAAGTTTTTTTATTATAAAAGTAATGTAACTTTTATATGTGTTAAATAAAGTAATTTTTAAGTAGTTTAATTTATAATTTATTGATAAATTTGTATTTTAATTTAATTATAAAAAAACACTAATTTGCCCAAAACTGATAAATTATAAAACATTACAATTTATAAATTATAATTTAAAAAATTATTAGAAAATTAACACTGGTTTATTATAAATGTAAAATCCAAAGAAACAATATAATCAATTTTTTTACACATTTTTCTGGTTTTGGCAATCTCTGTCAATGATAAGTAATATGAAATTAACTAATTTTTTTTATTTTAATTTCAGGTTGAATTATCAAGTTTAAAATATTTTTATGTTGACGACCCTAAAGATCTTAGACTTAGTGCTATTAGTGATGAATTACAAATGGTATTAATACGAGTTGTTAATTCTTTTAACACACTAACAGACTTACCTCCACAAAAAATAAATCTTCCTGGTTTAAGGTATAGTTATACTTTATGGAGGTATTGGATGACTCAAGAAGAAGATTCAGACTTTCCAGGTGCATTAGGAAACCAAGAGGTCATATTAAAATATTTATTGCCAACTAGTGGACCAGCTTTGGGCAGTTAAATATATATTAACATTTAAGCCTATCAACCTAGAAAACTACTAAAATGTTAACATAAAATTTGTTGACATAAATTAAGTGATGAATTATGGAAATTATTTAATGCCCCCAAGTTTTATAACTTCCAAAAGTTGGCCTACTTGACAGTAAAAAAAAAAAAAAGGATTAATTTCTATTAAAGACCAAAATGTTTGAATTTTAGACTAGAGTTTCTGTTTGGCAAGAAGTACCAAAATTGATTGTAGGTCAGTCAAATCATACTTTGGCTGCCATTTTGAAATTAATAGATTTAGAACTTCCTAAAGTAAATGAAACTTGGGCAAAAGCTGAAACAGAAAAACTTTCAGAAGAATTAACAGTATGGAATTATAAATAAATAAGGAAATTTTTATTTTCAAATAAGTATTTTATGATATACTATCTTTATTATTATTTGTAGGGCCAGGAATTATATTCATATAAATTTTGTTTTAGCCACTTTGGTTAGTCCCAAGTCTGTGCAATTTAATCAAAGGATTATATAATAGTGTAGAATTTGTTTTTGTTTTAGGGAAGTAAAGCCTCCTATCACACCAAAACTATTATTTCAATCACAACACATTACTAAAAATTCAAGTGAATAAATAAAAATGTGTACTTGCTGATGATGTGTTCGGAATAAAATTACAAAAATTCTAAATGCATATAATTCTTAGCCCTATTTATTTGACTATTCAAACAGACATTTTAATAATTATATCACTTTATGAAATAAAGGCTAAATTAGATTTTTATGTAAAATGCATTTTTATAAATAAAATTGTTCACTTTAATTGTTTGATACTGTGGTAAAATATGAGCTCTACATAGTAGAACATTATGTAATCAACTCAATAATTTCATTTTATTATAAAACGGGTCCAATTATTGTTGTTAAGACTATTTTATTAAAAATTTTTCATTTTTATTGTAATAAAAGTCTAATATATTCTCTTTTGCAACATACAATTTTTTTTTTGTTATGATTTTAATATAATTATACACAGTAATTAATATATAATATTAATTATTGTGATTTCATTGATTTTAATGAAATTTTGAATAAAAAATGCTGTATATTATACACAAAACTAGTGTTTATTTTAAATATTTGAACAAGGACCAATTTTACTACTTAAATAATTACTATGCTAACATAAAAATCTATTCAGTTAATGATTATAAAAAAGAAGAAATTATTATCTAAAAAAAGTATTAAACTTGAATAATGGATTTTTATCTCCTGAAATAATAACTAAAATTAAACAACATTTTTTTAATAATTATTTGATTTATGTGTAACATTATGATTTTTTTTAGACATTATTGAGTAATGATGGAGTTTTGTTTTTTCCATCCTCTCCTACTACAGCCAAACATCATTATGAACCTTTTTTTTACCCTTTTAACTTTGCATATTGGGCAATATTTAATGTGTTGAAACTTCCTGTAACTCAAGTTCCACTTGGATTAGGCAAAAATGGTCTGCCATTGGGAATACAGGTAAAAAAATTAATTTTTTTTTGTTATATGTACAACAAACAGTATTCAAGTTCAACTTTATTACTTTTAAAATTTCTTTTATTTCAATATTATCATATTTGGAATGAGCTTTAAATTTAAGAAAGAGTTATATTTTTCTTAAAATATTTAATAATTATGTATATATAATAATAAAAATAATATTAATATATGTTAGAAAAAGGAGTTATTTGTTTTGTGTGTCCCTATCATAATTAAATTCATATTTTTTTAATCAAAATTATTTTAGGTAGTTGCTGGGAAAAATCAAGATAGACTCTGTGTTGCTGTGTCTAAACATCTAGAAAAAATATTTGGTGGCTGGAAATCACCTTTTGCTATAAAAACAGTTTGAAAAATAATTATATATTAGATTATTGTGGTTTAAGGGTTTTTTTTTCAATTTAAAAAAGTTTAAAGGTGATCTTTTTGTAATATATTTTATAAGATGCTCTTTGTAAATCAAGGAATTATAATATATATATATATATATATATATAATCATCTAAAAGAAATAAAAAGGGGTTGTAAGCATTAATAATGTACATATCAGTGTTTATACAAATGAAAGCATTAGGGGAAAAACTGTAATAGTCCATTTCTGTACATTTTTCAGGGAAGCAAAAAAAAAAGTTATAAATTCTTATTTTGTTAATAATAAAACAAAAATAGATGCTTTAGTATCAGCAAAATAAAAACATTTTTTATCAAATGGATCTAATTACTTGGTTCTACTGCTAATAGGCAATCGAATCAAACCATGAAATTAAAATTAAAAAAAAAATGGACCATTCTTATTTTTTTACTATATTCTTCAAATATTAGATTATTATCTAATACTTCTATACAAATCTAACATTGACTGTATTTTTTATTAGATGTAATTTTAGTAAGATAAATATAAATATATATATATGTTTTTATATTTAAATCCTTCCTTTTTTAACCCAGATAATATGTTATTTTCTAGCCAATTGCTATAATTTAAAAATTAAATTAAATTTTTTTTCTTTCAATTTAACTAAATAAAGAATCTAAATTTGCAATTAACTTAACTTGATGTAATATTTTTAAAATTAACTTTACAAATTGAAAAATATGTTAACTTTCTCAGTTTTGTATATAAATATGCGTATTAATAAAATAATTTTAAACTCTATTTAATTTTATATTCAATAGTGAGTACTTTATTTGAGACAATGCAATTTATCTAATGACTCTATAAAAAAAGTAGAACGATTTTCAGAAAACTTAGTATGCTTCAATTTTTTTGTATTGCAGTATTTTATATTCACCTCAGAATAGTATTACCTAAAAAATAAGAATATTAGACAAAAAGTCTAAATCAATTCAATTGATAAATTAGCATTAAATTGAAGACATTCAATGTTTGATGATTGAATATGTTTATCAATATCGAATACATATTTTCATCAATTTACCATTGACATAACATCAATTTAATAAAAAAAGTAGCACAGTGGGATCACTGCATAATTGGGACAAGTTTAGACATCTAAATGTAATTATAATTACTATTATAAAATACACTTTAAAGCAAATCTATAGATAGAGTATTTAATTCTAATTATATCTTAATTACAAGTTTTAATAAGTATAATGGATGAATTAATCCCCCTACTACTTGGCTGACCACAAGTAGTTGTGATTAGGGTAAGGAAAAGAAGGTATAATACATGAATAGTATATTATAGTAACAATAATTTATTATAATAATTAAATTTAGTATGAAATTGATATTCAATAATTTAGTATTGTAATTTTTTTGGAGAAATTATACAGTTGTATATTTTGTTACCCACAGGGCAAATATGTATCAACATTATAAACAAGGCTAGTCAAGTTCATGATTTTTTCTAACTAGTAAAAGTTAAGTTGATTTTTAAAAAAGAGTTACTATTTCTATAATTCAGATTATTTTGATGAACTATATGTGCTTATAATCTTAGTTTATCAAGAAAATAATATGTAGAGTGTAAATGTAATTGAAGACAAAACATTGCCTCACGTAGTTTAAACCACACTTTTTGTACTCAATTTATATGAATTGAATGTATAATAGAATGTTTGTATATATATATATACAGTATTCAGTTTATCATTAACCACATGATTACCTGTACAATACATACAATTAAAAAAAAAACGGTAGCACAGTGGGGTCGAGGCACAGATGGGACAAGCATAGATGATATCTGACAGTGATTAAAATCACTATCATAAGAAACGCTTCGATGCAAATCTGTAGATAGTGTTTCATTTAGAGAAATTGGTGGATTATTCCAAAAGCAACATCAACTCTTATTTCTTTAATTATATCCTGATTAGTAGTTCTTTGATTTTAAAATATAATATATGAATAAATACTAATTATAGTTTTTAAATTTAGTATGAAATTGTGAGGCCAGCTATGATGTATGGTTCATAGTGTTGGGCGGTTGATAAGAAAGTAGAGCAGAGAATAAGTGTAGCAGAGATGAGAATGCTTAGTTGGATGAGTGGAGTGACTAGAGAAGATAGGATAAGGAACGAGCATATAAGAGGAAGTATAGGTGTTGCGTCAATCGTGGATAAGATGACAGAAAATAGACTTAGATTGTTTAGTCATGGTATGAGGAAAGAAGAATCGAAAGCTGTAAGAACAGTTATAGAAATGAATTTTGAAGCAAGAAGACGTAGAGGAAAACCAGAATGGAATTTGAGGGATGTTATTGAATGCGACATGAGGACAGCTGATGTGAGCGTAGAAGATGTGGGAGATCGTGTCAAGTGGAATCTTAGGATAAGGGTGGCCGACCCCAAGTAGTTGGGATTAAGGCAAAGAAAAAGAAAAATATTACCAGATATTCCGGTGGCAATTGACATAATATGATTGTTATTTCGGAATGTACAATTTAGCGTTTAGTTGGGTTTAAATAATATAGCGTCAAATCAATTACCTACTCTATCGGTTGTATCTCAATATACACTACACTTTAATGATACAATAAATAAATAAACTCACACATACACACATATGCATTTATAACATTGTGTCTAATGTAAGTATAACATGATAAAAAGTAACCGTAAAATGAAAAAAATGGAATATAAATTTTAGTACTCATATTAAATGTAATGTAACTCGAAAAATATTTGTTTAAATGAAAAAATATAAGATAATTTTTTTGTTTATAATTGTCTTTTAAACAACTTTTGTACGAAACTTTTTTTTGTAAGTTAAATATTTTTTGAGAAAATTAAAAAAGCTCATATTTTTGAACTTTTGCGAGGTTGAAAAAAAAAAGCTCAATTCCAATCTTGAGGACTATTAGTATGTCATTATACATATTTTAATTCAACTTTTAAAAAAACAAAATTTGTTTGGAAATTTTTTCCGCAATTTTTCCTTTATTAACTGGCCTAGATGTCAATTTTAAACTTGTAATTGAGCTAAAGCTATGGTAATATATTCAATTTTTTTTAATTTAAACTTTCATAAATCTTTATCAAAAAAAATTTTTCATCAACTTTAAAGAACCAAAAAAATAGGTTAAAATTGAAAATTTGGACTGATTATTTTTAACATATTAAAAATCAAATCAGTAATAATTTGAAAACAAATTTTTTTTTCTTTTAATTATTATTTTATATATATAATTAGTAATAATATAAAAAATTAGAAGTGATACAAAAAGTCTACTTGCAGATTTGAAAACAACGCAAAAAGTTGATTTAGAAAAGTATATTTTTGCATCTGATGAAAGTTCCTTGTAGTCCAGTGCATTTTTNTTCTGATGAAAGTTCCTTGTGTCCAGTGCATTTTTTTATAGTAACAAACAGTTTTTATTGAAAATTATTGTATCAAGTCCTTTAAATTTTTATACACGTAAAAGTATACCAAAATATAACTTCTTTATTATTTTTATAATTTCTCCATTTAAATTACAATTTTAAATTATTGAATATCAATTTCATACTAAATTTAATAATTATAATTAGTGTATATTCATATATTCAGTGCTCGAATTGGGGGGGTGCGCAGGGGGACGTAGCTCCTCTACTTTTTTTTTAAATTTTTTTGCGCACCCCAACTACTTTTTTTTATTGTGACGGGAGGACGGTGGAAAATACCACCTTTTTTTTTTTTTGTAAATATTAGTATGATAATGAAATATGATTTATTAATAAATACTAAATAAAGTAATGAGTAAAAAAAAAAAAA